CTGTGAAGAGCAATGAAAATACTTGTAAGACAGAGAAAGGCACCAAATCCTTGCCTTGGGTTTATGGTGCCTTGAGTAAAGGAGGCTTCACCAACAAAAGTAAGTTTTGCCTTAATTTGGCACACAGGGAACTTTGTGCTGCAAGACAATGTTTCATGTTAGGTTTTAGATATGTAAGAAGCATGCCATTCTGTTGTAAAGAAACTTTACACAAGGAAGTTGTATAGAAATTAATTCCTTAAAAACAATCTAATCCTTTTCTTGTTGACAAGTCTTAGCATACCTGTTTGGGATAAACAAACCATTTTCCCTCTGCTCTCACATCACCACAGTCAACACAGAAAATGCTATGAATTCAGAAGGTGTGGGGATTTCTCTTCACCAGTAAGTAAGCAAGCAGTTCTGCAGCTGTGCACCCTCTACTCCAAATTAGTTCTAATTCTCCACCTGGAGATAGAATCAGATCCCACAAGTTGAGGGCTACCCCTCCCCACTTCTGATGTCCCAGGTCATTTAACCTGACTATACAGCTATAAATTGGAGTTCTCACATCCCCTCCTTTGGTTTGGTTAATTTGCTGGAGTGGCTTATAGGCAAACACTTAGCACTTAGCAGTTTATTGGAAAGGTTATCACAAAGGACACAGATGAAGAAACACAGGGTAAGATATAGGGAAAGGGCGTAAGTATGCTCTAGGAAGCTGCACATGCTCAGCTGTTTAGAAGTTCTCTGAACCCTGTCCTTGTAGATTTTTACAGAGGTTTTATTTCATAGGCATGACTGATTAAATCATTGGCTGTTGATGATCAACTCAACTTTCAACCCTTCTTCCTTCCCTGAAGATTAGAAGGTAGGACTGGAAGTCCCAGCCTTCTAATCCTACCTTCATCTTTTCAGTGACCAGCCCCTATCCTGAAGCTACCTAGGGGCAGCCATCAGTCAAGTCAGTAGTATGCAGAAAGACACCATCACTTCAGAGATTCCAAGGTTTTTAGGAGTTGTATTTCAGGTACTGAGTATGAACACCAAATACATATTTCACAGTACCTTAGGGGTATGACTACCCTTGTTAGAAGACCTCTGGACTAAATGACCTCTATGAGCACTTGGATTCTAAGATTCCATAATGTTTTGATTTAATTAGGCTTATCACTACAAGGAAGAAAATACTATCACCTCTATTACTGCCCATTCAAACACATCCAGTCAACCTTAGTTTTTGTTTTTACAAATAAAAGAACTGTCTTTCTGACAAGAGTCATCTTTTAAATTAGCTATGAGACTGAATGAATTAAATAGACACTCTTACTGACACAACAGCAGGTCCTCATATCAGTAAGAAAGTTTTTAACCCCTCAAAATCAATATATGGAGAAAGCAACAAAGCAAAAATAGCTAACTATTAAGCTACTTTGAGAAAGTGAAAACCTAAACCCTACAAATCAGAATTTGATTACTGTTGCCAAAGCTAATATTTGAGTAAAGATAATGTTCTGGAAAAACTAAATCCAGGATTAACATCAGTGTATGTTTACCAGCTCTTAAAACACAGGTATGCAGTTAAAATGATTAAGAATCATTTATAGTAACAATAGATAGGATCACCATCAGAGAGTAGATGAAATCACATGAACTTTAGATAGCAATGGTAGAGCTTCTTAATAAAGTATGATAAAAGCCTTAGCTATGTATTAATCAGGTGAATGAGTCCAACCATGAGCCATATCCACACTTACGTGGCCTTACAGATTGTAGTGGGGAAGAAGGCTACTCCCATCTTCACTCTCAGAGAAGTTGCTATGTATGTCAGTCAATCAAAAGACAAAAATTCATTAGAGATATTTTATAAATTACAACACAAAAATTATATGTTCTAGTATCCTTGGTAGTTTTTTTTTTTTAAATAAAACCTGGTCATGCCTAGCTAATCAATTAAGTATAACTCTATGTCCTAAAATTATAGGCTCTCTGATTCTCTACTGTGGTTTCCTGAGTTAATATATCTGATTTTATATGAATTAAGTGAATGCAGTTAAAATTCAGTAATTTAAAATATTTTTGCTTAATAAAAAAGCAAAGTTTTTACTGCTGATTGTATAAATAATGGTTTTGGAATTTTTTCAGCCCTCAGTTTGAATCTTAGTACCATTACTTTCTTTGAGCACATGATTTACATTTTTGAGCCTCCAAACATCAGCCTCAAAGATTTGCTTTAAGTGAAGCTACCTGTTGTGTCACAGGTTCTTAATAAAAATTAATTTTTGTCTTCCCCCCTCCTGAATCTTCTCAGTAAAAGCTAATTCTTCACAAATGTAGGTTCCTAGAAGAAGCATCCTAAATGAAAAGTAGAAATTGGTCTCAGATATTTAAAAATGTCATTGAGTAAAGCAAAATATCTGTTTAGATAGAAAGCAAAATATTCTCTAAATGGTAAGATTATATTTTTTCTCTTTTCATTAGCCTATGCCAATTTTGCTAAAATGAATGTGTATTATTGTAAAATACATACTAAAATTTCTATGATCAATGCACAATCATCTAAGAGTTGATGCATGAAAAATCACAATGATTACTATAACTTTGAAAGCTTTTTCCTTATAGCATTTTATCTTGCTAAATTGGTTCAAGAATAAAATAGATCTGGCAGATGAAGCATTGTTAAATGCCATGATTATGGGCATTGGCAAAGAAGAGAGAAAATGAAATTGTAAATAATGGCTTTTTGTTAAGCTTCCTTGTACAACCCCCTTCTGCCTCATACCTGGGTTATTACAACTATATTCTCACCCATCTCTCCGTTTCCAGGCTTCCTGTACTACTGCACTTTGATGTTCTTGAAACAGTGATTTCATTTCACCTTTAGCCTGCTCTGAACCTTTAATGGGTCTCTATTTAGCTATAGCTGTCCTTTAGAACTGATGGTACATGTGTCATTGTAGGATGCCATAGTCTAGGTGAAAAGCAACCCTAACATTTACTAGAAATATACTCTCCCTCAAACCTCACATTTATCTATAAGACTAAATTTATTGTGAACTGCTTCAGACCCTATCAGACATAAACTAGGTTTTTGCCTTTCTTGTCTGTGATCATGGGACATGTTTCTTAGCAATCTTGAATTCTGTTTCTTTTGATAAACACACATACACACACCAAACACAAGGCCTTTGTGTGATTGAAATCCCATTTACTCATAAGTCTTCTTCAAGCACCTGTTTTTAAAACATACCAGAAATGATATACACAGTAACAATGCTAGTAAATATATCCATCCTCAGGGAAGAGTGTGCAGTTATGCCCTTTGACAGAGTAAAAATACAAAGTACAAAAATCACAAAGTATAAGTACCATATTTTTGAGCCTGGTATTCAGAGCCTCTACTAAGTAATACCATGTTCTTTTTCCAATCTTATGTCCCATACTCCCCTGACAAACCCATTAATGTCTCTCATTCATTCACTACTGAGGGCCCTGCACTGCATTGAGCACCTGCTGTATTGGGCCCTTTGTAATCCTTACAGTACTCCATTGATTGTATCACCATCTCCGTTTTCCAAATGAGGTTTAGTCTCTTCCTTAATACACAGTGACACAGCCAGGATTCAAACCCAGGTTGTCAGACTAGCTTTTTTCCTTCCCTATCCAGTTTGGGTTTTCATGCTCACCATCACCCTAACATGTGTCCATTTTCCTGTTCCTTTTTTTTAGAATCATGGTATTTACCCCAATTCAGAAACATTGTCCTACCTGTCCTTCAAAATCCAGACCCTCAATCATCTGATCTTCAATCATCTACTGCTTTAGATTATAATTTAGCCTATCAGTTTATATGTATTGTCTCTCTAACCAGGCAGTTAGCTGATTGATGGCAAAAGCCATTTAAACTAGAGTAAATAATCTCAAAGATACTACTTTTTTATTCATCTCTTGTTATCACTTCAGTGCTACGTCCCTAGCAGACAGTTAATAAAAATTAATTCATTGTTAAACTAACAGCTCTTCACAAATAGTCAGAAGACTCTATCCTCTTGTGAGAATTAGATACTTAGAGTTCTCAGATTTGAAATTTAAGTCCTCAAATTTTTGAGTTAACAACTTCTCTGGAGGTTATATCCAGTTTAATGGTTTTTGTCTGTCTGTCTGTTTTTAGAAAAGTGATAACTCAGCTTTGTTATCACTTTAAAAGGGTTGAATTTCATAGAGGATAAATGTTCCAGTTTCATTCTATTCCTCAGCTTTCATGACCCTTGCCAATGTAGTTATATTTCCATTTATGCAAAAATTTTAAAACCTCTTCTGTCACTAACTTCCACTGAGTAACTGAGAAAAGACCTCGACCAAGAGATAAAAGGAGAACACCATACCAAAGAAGAAGACTTTTATATCTGTTTTCTAGAACTAGGCCATGTAAGAAGAGATAGTCTCCATGAGGTAGCAGGGATGCAGGGAACAGAGAGTTTTTGTTCCTGTGGGTCATGCCTCACCATGTCCTGGTTATCCCTTCTCTGTCTTTCCAGTCTGCATCTGACTTTTCATACATACTAGTTAGTATATAGCTTAGAGAGGACTACATGAGTCAGTGCCATTGATTGGTTTTCTTGTTGTTTTCTTAAAGATTGGTTTGGAAATCCCCATAATATATTCTGCATTAATTTACACTTTCGGTGTTATGATATAGTTAGAATAACTGATAAGTGCCAGTCTTAATCTTTCCCAATGCTTCGGATGATCAAGAAAGACTGTAGGTGTGAAAACAGCTTCAGTAATAGTCATACCTTGGGGGAAGTCAGAGAATTTTTTACTTACATGTCTTTAAAAAAATGTTAGACCAGAATTAGTAAAACAGCACTAACAAAAAAGCTTTTAAAGTGAAATTTATATGAGAGCATTTCTTTTATCAGAGAAAGATGAAATGCCTGAGCATTTAGTGAAAGTAACTTTTTGAAAGAAATCTGTTTTGTTTCAATTTCTTTCTTCATCAGTGGATCTCTCACATTCAGGAAAATTAGGTGGATTTACACAAGAAAATAACACCATAGATTCTGGAGAACTTGATATTGGCCGAAGAGCAATTCAAGAGGTGCCCCCTGGGATCTTCTGGAGATCACAGCTCTTTATTGATCAGCCACAGTTTCTTAAATTCAATATCTCTCTTCAGAAGGATGCATTGATTGGAGTATATGGCCGAAAAGGCTTACCACCTTCCCATACTCAGGTAAGAATAGGCTTTTTCATCAATAAAATGAAAACTCTTAAGTTTTGTTTTTTTAACATTATTCTATTTATTAAGATCAACTGTTTGGCTAAGTGAACATTTTTGAAAGAAACTGTTACAGCAGAAAGAATTTTGAATGTAGCTTACACTTGTTTTGATGGTTTTGAATTAGTAGTAGGAAGGACCTTTTCTTTCTGACTTGCTTTGATCATTATGGATTGATTGAATTGCTAAAATTTGTGAGCAGTTTAATGTTGAGCATCATCTGGATGCCTAATAAAACACCACAGGTATCTCATATGATCGTATGGTTTTCATAAAATAGTTGCATAACATACTTACCTCACACATACATTCATTCTGTTTTAATTGTACTTTTAAAATGTTTATGTCAGATTTACTCTTAATGAATAAAATACAGGAACATAAAAATACTTAAAAAGTATTATAGTCCAATACTGAGTCATACTGTATAAATTAGAAATTGTAGTTCAACACTGGTCACACTAAGGGTAAAAGAAGGAAACTAAGATCTTGAATATGGGTGATATACTCTCTATACAAGAATGAATGTAGAAATCCTAAACCAGCTGAAACGACAATAAGAAAGGGACTAAGGTAGAATGTAGATAATTAGAGGAAATAAACCAATTGGTTTATTTCCAATTTATATTTAAATATATATTTAAATATATTTATATATATAATATAAATATTTATATTTATATGGTGTATCACACATATATGCATGGAAAAATCACAAGGAAGCTCCCTGTGTAGCTATCTTTATCTCAAACTAGCAAAAGTGTCATGTTTTTCTTTTTATCTTTTCTATTCTGCAAAGTCAGAGAATAGGAGGGCAGAACAGATCCTGCCCAGGAGGGAGGGTTAGTTCCAGTGGGAGTGGGGAGGTGGCGGGGAAGGGGCGGGGGGTAGGAAGGTGAATACAGAGCAAAAAATGTGTATGCATGCACGTAAATGCAAAAATGTTACCTTTTGAAACTGTTCCATGAATCGGGAGAGGGGAGGATAAAGGCAAGTGGTAGAAAGGCTGAATTCAAGTATGATATAGCTGATACATTGTAAGAACCTTTAAAATGCCATAATGTACCCCCACCCAGCACAGGATTAAAGGAAAAAAGAAATTGTAGTTTAAAACAGGTTCCACAGGGGCTTTAGGCCATAGGTTCAAAACCTAAATCTCTAGTACAAAAAAAAAAAAGTTTCAAAATGTCTAAGAGAAATTATTTAAATTATGTACCATAAAATTGGAATTTAGACTTTTCCCAGGCTTAACTAATGTTACTAAATAGAGGAATTTTAAAAATGTACTAGTTGTGATATATTGTAAGAACTTTTATAAATGTCACATTGTACCCCAGTACAACAATAATAAATAAATAAATATAATAGCTGGTTACTTAAAATTGAGCTTAAAGTTACATTTCATAATCAGTTTATTTACCCATGTAATTTCATGTGGTTTTTTTAATTTTTAAAATAAAGGCTGTAGTTTTCATATATATATTTCATATTTTGTGAGCAAGGGTTTTTCTATAACCTAGGAATATACATTATGAAGAAAAATTGATGAGACACTAGTAAAGAAATAACATCTTGAAAGAAAGATCAGTAAGAAAACTTTAACATGCTTTCTCTAATGTCATTGTGGATTGGGTCATGTACATCTATAAATTTTGTGGCTGTGAAATGTTTGAATATCATGCTGAAGTATATTCATTTTTTTCCTACTGTGTTATTAAGGTAAATGCCAGGGATCTTTACACTTCAAGTACTTCTTCTGATATACTTGCATCTAATTTCAAATTTTACATTAGACTTCAGTCATGTTATAGACGACACTGGCTAGGATTTAAAAATCAGATTTTCTTCAATGGAAGTGGGTCTCTAGAACATCAATTATAGCAGATAGAATGCACTTACAGCAGTAATCCAGTAAAACATGAAAAAAAATTCCTCCACTGAAGCTACATATAAAATTAAATTATTTTCTGTAATTGAAGCAATATACCTCTAAACTGAGCAGAACAGTGAGTATGCAGCTTACAAATCCCAGAGAACTTCACATAAAAATTGTCTACAATAAAAGATACAGATTCATAATCCTCCCATTACTTAAATACAATAGGCATGATACATACTTTTCTTTTCTACCCCAATATATATTTTTAAGTAAGTTATGCATTTTCTTAAGCTTCCTTAGAGTTCCTTCCTCTAGTTTATTCAAGATCAGCAGAGCAAACAACTGTTTCTGAATTCAGTGTTTAAGCATGAAATATGCTATAAAGCTGCCCAAATTGAACATTTCCCTGTTTCTGGGGAATGTTAAATAAATCAACCTGCAATAATTAAAATTGGCCAGCCATTCAGAATGCTCACTTGAATCTTGAAAATCTTTGTGACCGTTTAGAGAACTGTCTGTTTGATTGTTGCTAAGGAACCAATTGGCGTTGCTCCCCCCAATGCTGGATTTATTCTCCTGGACACTTGGAAGCCTAAGGTAGCAATTCAGCGCTTTGCAGTTAGTGTGCTCTGGCATGTTAGTGCATTTGTTTGAAGGCTGTTTCAGAATAGGAGGCAGAAGCCTGAGTTCTAAGCACACTGCTACTACTTTTTGACTTTGTACCTTTCACAGGTAACCTCGGTAAATTCCAATGTCTTGGTAAAATGAGAGTTGGATCAAATGATCTCAAATCTCTTACTTCTCTACATTGCAATGATACACAGCAAGATTATGCCACCCTCAAAAAGTTGAAGAAAAAAAGGTTAAAAAAAAAAAAAAAGTCCAGGTATAGTGGTGCTCACATGTAATTCCAGCACTTGGGAGGCTGAGGCAGGAGGATTGGGAGTTCCAAAGCAGCCTGGGCTACATTCGCAAGATCTTGTCTCAAAAAAAAAAAGAGTCGATTTAAGTACACAGTTAAGCATTCATTTACTTCTGAGTTATCAGCACTTAAATGACAAATTTAATTAAACATATGGATAATTTTAGCTTTTCAGAAAGAAGTGAACTACCAAGAAACCTGGAAAAAAATTGCACTTTAAATGGTTTATTAGATAATCAACATAGGTACAACAAACATATAGTTTGTTAATACATTGTAGTCTAAAGCAATTTTAAATGAGAAGGATTTTTAAAGCATGTATTTTTAGTAATATTATGTCATAAGAAAATTACCTTTAAAGAGCTTTCACACAAAGATAGCTCCAATTTATATGAAATCTTTATCAAATATTAACTTTGTCTCATGAGAGCTTCCCCTAAGTAGTGAGACTGAATAGTTAACCCAAAGAATTTCATCCTAAAAATAGCATAAAATTTTAACATGCTTCCCCAAAAGTCACATTTCCATCTTACGGATAGCTGTTACAAAGCAAAACTAATGTTAGCTCTCATTTGATCACTTTATACCCTAAAAGTCATGTGTGAAATGCCCCTGCAGAAGAGCCTAGAACTGAATAGACATTCAAAAACTGTTAGCTACATTCTAATACCACCTTCATGCCCATCACCCAGCCTTATTGTTAGTAGTGTGATGATGATAATGGTGATTCCCATGATAAAGGTGACGATCAGAATGTAGACTTGAAAGATCAATTAAAACTCAAAATTTCCTCCATTGCTTTTTCAGTTACTGTGTTTGATGTTAGTGGACAAAAGTGTTTCTATGCACTAGGCCATAATAAGGAACATTTTTCCATTGTTTTTTCAAGCTGATTTTAATATGTAAATCTTGATAAGGAAATGAATGACTTGACATAGAAATACGTTTCACAATTGCTGAGTTAATTTTCCTCTGATCATTATGGAATAGAATTCCAATGACATTTTTATAGGTTAAGTAGCCATGTCACTCATCACTTTCATCCCTATAAGAAATAAGTGGAAAAAAATTAGAATGTTAATCAAGTTATTCCCTTTGGCGTGTTTCTCATGGCTGAATGATGTTATAATAGTTTTAGCACCAAAAAACAAAAAAAATACTATACTTAAATAATAATTTTAGTAAGAAACTGAATTAGATACTCTAAAGTCTCTCCAACAACTAATTTTGTTTCAGTTTGATTGTATTAAAAGATTCCAGTAATCATCTTTTCCTCAAATAGACCTATGATGAAATGCCATATAAGGAATCTATCAGATTCATACATACAGCACTATAATCATGACACATACACATATATACATATATATATATATATATATATATATATATAGTGTATAGTGTGCTTTTCACCATAAACATGTCTCAGTTATAAAATGAAACTGGTAAACAATCTATAGAAACTAAATCACTCTACATTTAAGAAAATTACCTGGGCTGGCAGAGTGGCTCAAGGGTAGAGTGCCTACCAGTCAAGCCTGAGGCCCTGAGTTCAAACTCCAGTACCACAAAGAAAAAAAGGAAAGACAGGGAAGGAAGGAAGGGAGAGAGAGAGAAGGGAGGGAGTGTCACAAAATGCAACCAACCCTTCTTACCAATCATATTCTGTAGTTTAAATTCTAAAACTCAATTCTCCTAACCACCAGTGTTTGTGATTAATTATAGTAAAACACAGCTTGGTTTGAATTATGACTGACTTCTTAGTCATAATTGAACTCATAGACTATTGTCCCTTCACATACTTCCATTGCTAAATTTTGTAGACTTCTGATCAAAGATTTAAAGGTACCTGGTTCTATGTTTTTAATCTGACCAGATCATTAAAAAAACAAACAAAAAAAACCAAAACAAAACAAAACAAAAAAAAACCTGGGTTTCTCCATGGTGCTTGAGTTGGTTATATCAGGGTCACAGGAGGAAGGTAGAAGTTGGTGGTAGCAATAACCCCAGCTTTGGAGCAAAGTGCTCCTGAATTCACAAACCAATTCTACTACTTCCTAGGTACCAGACTTTGGTGAAGTGCTTCAAGAGTCATTTCCTTCATCTTTAAAGTGTCACTATTAATGCCTTTCCCAAAGGGTTCCTGTGAGGATTAAAAATTATCCTGGCGCAGAATAGCTACCAGTAGTTGCTACTGCATTAGCATTAAATGGGAGGAGAAGCCTTTAGAGATTATGGTCTAAAGAAAACAGGCTGCCGGCTTTGGAATGTAAGTCCACATAGATTTTACGTTTATATCCCCAAGCTGCCTAAACTCATCAAACTTTTTATCAGTCAGGAGAATTGAATAACTTTCGAGATCATTTTTCCCAATAAGGAAAAAAAATGACCCGTTAAGTTAAATCCAACAGTATGTGTGGGAGGTAGCTCTCAGCCCTATAAATGCTATGTGTAAAAGACTTCTACCATTTGGGCCTGTTAATCAGGAACTTTTTTTCTAATACTGTATTTATTTTCAAGAAAAATGCTCAAAAAGTAAAATAAAAGAGAGTACCACACTATAATATTTCTGGCTACTAACTCAGTTTTCCTTATTCTTGTTCTCAGTACGATTTTGTAGAGCTCCTGGATGGCAGCAGGTTGATTGCAAGAGAGCAGAGGAACCTGGTAGAGTCTGAAAGAGCCGGGCGGCAGGCAAGATCTGTCAGTCTTCATGAGGCTGGCTTTATTCAGTACTTAGATTCCGGAATTTGGCATCTGGCTTTTTATAATGATGGGAAAAATGCAGAGCAGGTGTCTTTTAATACCATTGTCATAGGTAAGAACCCTCTTGAAAGCATTTTTTGCCAGGCTATGTGTTAAATAAAAACTGAATTATCTTTATCAATTTTTAGTGATTCCATAGTCCATGTAAAATGTGATATTTTTTCTATTGTTTATTTGTGAATAGATGACAAACCTTGAAATCTTGGAAGAAAATATTTGCAACTACTTTGGGGGAGGAGCATGAAAACACTTTAAAATCTGCATTTGAGGTGGCGTTGCTTTGCTTTAGTATTCACATGATCTAATAATGATGAATCAATTTTTTGGTTATGGGTCAAATCATTCATACTTCCTTCAACACCAGCTAAACTGATCAAGTGACCATTTCTCTTTTATGACTAATAGGCTCTGCAATAAATGCTCCTTCTTTCTCTCTTCTCCAGAGTCAGTGGTGGAATGCCCCCGAAATTGCCATGGAAATGGAGAGTGTGTTTCTGGAACCTGCCATTGTTTTCCAGGATTTCTGGGTCCAGATTGTTCAAGAGGTATGCAAGTTAGATTGCTTTCTTAAGCTGATACAAATAAGTTGTAGAAACACACACAGTTCAGAAAACTAGCAAGACAGAAAAGAATGAGGGTGAAACTAGCATATTATTTGTTCCAGTGATATGTCTTCTTTCAGAAGCTCAATGGAAAATGTGGCTGTTCATTCTTCTGTCGTGTTTTATTTCACAGCAGCCTGTCCAGTGCTGTGTAGTGGCAATGGGCAGTACTCAAAGGGCCGCTGCCTGTGTTTCAGTGGCTGGAAGGGCACCGAGTGTGATGTGCCGACGACCCAGTGCATTGACCCACAGTGTGGGGGTCGTGGGATTTGTATCATGGGCTCTTGTGCTTGCAACTCAGGATACAAAGGAGAAAATTGTGAAGAAGGTAAACATGTCAATATTTACAGAATTCTATTGTTATTTCCATAAAGAGACAGCTTGTATCTGTAACCTTTGATTTGGCAGATTTCTCTCTTTATATACTTCCTTAGGAAAGTAATTTTGATTTCCATATTTATGCATGAATTGTTTTATTAACATTTTAACTAATAAAAAGAGCAAATACCAGAGATCCCTTTTGCTCTTTTCCAGTGGCATGTATAATTCTTTTTTCGCTCTGAGGAAATAAGCAAACATTTGTGCCTTGAAACCAACAGTGGACTGTAGATTTTTTTTTTTTTCCTTTTCAGTTTTTCACATTGTTGCTAGTTTCTAAATCTAGCATTTTGGCATCTCTAGGAAGACAGAATAAGTGAACATAATGTACTAATGAAAAAAAGTACAGCATCATGGATTTGTTCCATAACTGTATAAAATGATGAGAGTCAAGATACTATACTGTAAAGTGCAGTTAAATTGTTTTATCAGAAAGCAAAAAACACCATTTCCGTTCTTCAGTCAAAATGATTTTATTGATCTGCACTCACAAAGTAATGCAATTAAGTCTCTGGAATTAAATTTTCAGGCCATTGACCCTACAAGTGTAAAGTTTTATTGAGTCAAATTGGTAAATTAAATCTCATCATCTAAAGCACATTAAAGTGAATTAAGAAGGATAGAGAGTATGCAACTCATTTATTTCTCAAACAATTGGAGGCTACCATACAGCTGTCAGTGCCTAGTGGTCATGGATTAGGTCAGCTGATATGGATATTGTTGTAGAAAAGGCAATACTTATTACCCTGATTAGGCAGAACAGAGAGCTCTTGAAACCTCAAGAGCATATTTGTATAATTCATGAAAATTACAAATCCTTGCAAGAGCCTCAGTTATCTAAATGGCATTGGAATGATGCTTTATTATATTACAACTTTGCATTTTCAGAAACAAGTTCTTGAAAATGATAGATAATTGATTTATCTAAAATATTAGTATGAATTAGATTAGGATTTAGCTTTTTATTCTGTAAGTATTATAGTGTCTTCCAGATTTAATAAAATTGTTCTCATTTCTTGACACTAGCTGACTGTCTCGACCCTGGATGTTCTAATCACGGGGTGTGTATCCATGGGGAATGTCACTGCAATCCCGGATGGGGTGGTAACAACTGTGAAATACTCAAGACCTTGTGTCCAGATCAGTGTTCTGGTCATGGAACGTATCTTCAAGAAAGTGGCTCCTGTACTTGTGATCCTAACTGGACTGGCCCAGATTGCTCAAATGGTAAAGTTAATAAATATAGTCCAATCAAGTGCTTACTGTGGTTTAGCTAAGGATTAGAATATTTTAAGTTTTAAAATATACTTATTAAGCTTCATTGAAATTATAGGAAAGTGATTATTTATAGATATAAATGTTAAAAGTAATGAAATACAGTTTTCTTTTAAAAAGGAAAGAAAAGTATTATTGGTAAGAATAATCATTCGTCTGCATAGATGCCTCGGCTTCTTAACTCTCATTTTATAGAACTACTAATTGAAATTAGCTTCCCTCTGGTCCTGTGTACAGCTTGGGGATTTAAACACATTATCTGATGAATAAAGTAGCCTCAATTTTAAAAAGTTACCCAACAACATAAGACTAAACATTGTCAAAACAAAGGTGTACATATTATGTATTAAGGTTCTATACTGAATTTTTTGGGTGGCACTGGGGTTTGCATTTTTAATTATGATAACATGATCATAATAGAAATGACAAATAGTATTTTTATTCCATCAGCCACATTACTGAGCACCTGCTATGTGCATGGTATAATGATAGGCCTTACAGGGATAAAAGTATAATGAATCATGTTTTCTCTCTAGAACAGTGGCTTTCAAAATTTTTTGAGCATGACCTATAGTCATAAATATGTTTTTACAAAACAAAGAATATATTTCACACTGAGACCTAGTATATGTATATCCACACATACTCAATTGAAATAAACATTTTACAAAATGATACACATGCCTATTTTTTTCAAGACTACTCTGTTGGGTTTTTTAATGCTGATTGCAAGTCATGAGCTAATTTCCATGATATTCCTGCTCATTAGTCACACAGTTTGAGAAGATGACATTCTAGCCTAGGAGATTACACTTCAATTAGAGAGATAAAATGAATGCACATGAAATATTTAGAAACCAGTTTATTCCAGTGTAGTATTATACCAAGTTATGTGGAAAAATATGCTACATTCAGAGGAGTTATCCTTCCTTGATAAATACTGGAAGTCTTCAAGGAGACATTTATTAACATTTCTTGTCTTAAACATGGTGGTCTGGGGTGGGAAGGCAGGATATTTTTTGATTAGGGGAGCACTATTAGAAAGTACTTAAGGACTGGTAGAGTGGCTCAAGTGGTAGAGCTCCTTCCTAGCAAGTGCAAGACCCTGAGTTCAAACTCTAGTACTGCTAAAAAAAAATGATAGAAAGTACTTAAGAAAATGGACTGTGAAGTCGTGTGCATAGTTTCATATCCAGTTCTACTTCATAATTATGTAGCCTTTGGCAAATTACTGTATGTCTCAGGTTACTTGTCTATAAAGTCACAGGACATTATTCACAGAGATACTATGGAATTATTTGAATTAATGCATATAAAGTACTCAGTACAGGCCAGGTGTGATGGTACACACCTGTAATCCCAGCACTCAGGAGGCTGTAGCAAAAGGATTTCAAGTTCCAGGCCAGCCTGGGCTACATAATGAGATTCTGCCTCAAAAAAAAACCCTTAATATAATAAATAAATAATAGCAAATATTGCAGAATATTTTATAATAAATTCTAAATATAGCTTCCACCACTACATGAGGCAAGGTAAAATTTTGGTTGGTCCCCATTATGGGGAGTTATGTTTATGAATGATGTTCCAGATTGGAAAATTCACAGATGACAATGGTGTGCTCACTAATATGAAAGTAGTGTTTTAGAAGAACTCATAGATTCGATGTCAGAGAACAACAAAGTCCGAGGATCTTCCAAAAATGTAAGGTAATGAGAGCATAAATTAGTTTGGAGTCAAGAGAAATGAAAAGGATAGATATACACACTATTTTAGAGGAGAATAAGGCAAAACTTGATGAAAAAACAAGATAGAAAAGTTTGGCAAGAAGGGCTTTAAGTCTGAAGCAAAGAAATTAGGTTTAATATTAATGTCTGAAGGAGACAAGAAGTTGGGAAAGGGTAAGGACAATTACAGAGGAGGACGCATGGAAGGCAATGGGAGGATACATAAAAAATAGAGCTGGAGGTGGTGGCTCACGTCTGTAATCCCAGCTATGCGGGCAGCAGACATCAGGAGAATTGCAGTGTAAGGCCAATCCAGACAAAATGTTAGGGAGACCCAATCACAACCAATAAACCAGGAGTGGTGGTTCATGCCTGTGAACCCAGCTCTACAGTAGGCATAGGCAGGATTATTGTGTTCCAAGGGTGGCTTAGGCAAAAATGTGAGACTCTACCTAAAGATAACTAAAGCAAAAAAAGGGCTGGGACATGACTCAAGTGGTAGAGCTCCTCCTGCCTTAGTAAATGTAAGGCCCTGAGTTCAAATGTTATACCACCAGAGAGAGAGAGAGAGAGAGAGAATGCTGAGTTCTGTTTGATTCTCAAAGTATCTAAAATGAGGAAGAAGTGAGAAAAGAGAAGAAGGGAAGGGACAGATTTTACTCACTCGCAGTATTGAGCAAATAAAAGCATTCTGCCTAAAGCTTAGGCTCAGGGCAGTGCCTGTCTGCTCTTCATCCAGTCCCCACTGGTCATCCTCTTCTCCAAAGTAGTGAAGAACACTGTTGCTCAACTTTTGAGCCAACCACTGACTATCTGTATGTTGGGCAAGGTATTTAACCTCTGTGCCTCATTTATCATCCTTAAACTGGAAAGAATAATATTACTACTGTTTGCAATTGTGATAAAGATAATATGAGTTAATATGTGAAAAGTACTTTGAATAGTGCCTAACACACAATAAGTATTCAGAAAGTGTCAACCATTAGTAGAAGTAGTGGTGGTAGTGACAGCAATAAACACTAGTGCTATTTTAAAGGCTTATTATAGTGTATCTTAATTCCTAATAAACTCAGAGAACCTTCCACCAAACATGTTGTTTGAATATGTTCCACAAACATGAAATTCACAAAATTCAAATTATTTCATCTATTAGTATGACCTAATGACATAAAACAAAATGAAATATTGCCAGGTAGCTCATTCACATTGCTTATTTTTAGTTGAGGGGGGAAAAAAGACTAGTAATTTTTACAAATTGCACTTTCCTGGCATTTTTGAGAAAGTTGGGTGACATATCTGCTACCCTGTGATTCAGTATCAGATTTATCTAGGATTATTGAATCCTAGAAAATGAAACTAAAGAACATTTTCCATAGGTTCATTTGTAATGTTGATGGAAAGTTTTTGTTCAATTTGTGAGTAGATATGCTAGCTAAAGAAACTTTTCTTCTTTTCTCCTTCCCACACTCACTTCTCTCCTCCCTCCTTCCCTTCCTACTTTATTGGTCCTCCATCATCTTTTGACTGTACACCTTGGGAAGCAAAGTTTATGATCTGATCATTTCTGCTTCATAGAAATATCAGTTGATTCAGATAGCTCAAGGACCCAAAACTTTGGCTAGAAAATTCATGACTGCTAGAGCACATAACATGTATAGGATAAATAAGAATAAGACATGAAGTGGGACCTAGATTATAGAGGGGCCTCAATGTCCCACTAAGGAGTTATAAGAAATATCCACTAACCAGCATTCATCAAGTGTGAGTGCAAGGCATTATTTTAAATAAGATACTAGCTTTTTTTGTCCTCTTTTCTTAGGTATTTTATAGTTACAAAATCAAAATAGTCATTTAGTTATTTCTGAGCATTTACTTACATTTCCAGCATCTATACTAAAAATACATACCATGAAAATATCCAATTAAACTTTATAGAGATGATTATTTGGGTAGTAAAGCTACTTGGTTCAGATCTCTTATGCCTCCTTCAGTAAAAGAGGTATAATAATACAAGCTACCAAGAATACTTGCTTGAAATACAGTCATTCTGATTTACTTTCTGCCCATATGGCCAGTAGGAAAGGAACAAGCATAGTAGCCCTTTTGTTTTGTTTCATATAAAGTCATTATAATACACTACTTGAATTGTTTTATAAAGGGTAATTTATAATTGATGCAGATGGCTCGAAAAGTAATTCAGTCTTCATAAAATCACCTTCCTATGAATAGCCAAAAAATTAATTAAAAGATTAAATTGACTGCCAAAATCATGTTATTTTATATATTTAGATTTAACTTTATTCATGCTGATATAATTAGTTGAAAATGTTATCATATACAAAAATTCACCCGTTTTCGTATAGTGTGTGCAATCTTTGTTCTATTCATCTGTATACCCCAATGAAAAACAGAAATATATTAAACTCTCAAGATACAGAGTTAAATAATGATGAATGCCAACACCTTCTTTTGAAGAATGCAAGCACACGCACAAAAAAAAAAATCTCCTTTAATAAACTTTGCTATTAGCTGTAAAAAGACCAAAAACTTACTTAGAATTCATTGTAAAGTTCTCAAACATGCTATGTTTACCATGTGGAAATATCTTGTTTCATGTGCCTTAAATTTATCTGCCTACTACACAGTCTCATTTGAAGCTTATAAAAGCATTGATGTAAATTTACATGTGTGACTTGAAGTCTGCCTACAGTTTAATTTTGATTTGCTAACCAAATGAATCCTCTAGGAAACATTTTGCTACTTACTTCTTTTGCTATTGTGAAAATGACCTTCAGATATCTAAATTCAATAAGAGAATAGACTTTACATCTGAAGAAACACTTGGTTAAACTGCTAAAAGAGAAAAAAATGAATTATTTCCATCAGAAAATTTATAGGTCCGAAAGCAACAGAGCTTTCGTCTATCTCCATCAGCAGTTTGTCCATTAATTAGCCCTTCAATTTCACTTCAATTAAATTAACTCTAATTAATAAGTTCATTACAAAGATTGACGCACCTTGCTCAAAGCTAGTATGCTAAATGCTGATAAACACCTTCACCCTAATGAAGAATTGATTAGATTGAATAAAAAGGGAACCTTAGAAAGAAACCTCTCTCTTTTGGAGCTGAGTTGATGTTATGTTGCTCTAAAGTTAATCAAACCATCTTGGATCTCTTAATCAAAAATTAATTCAAAGGAATTAGAGAATGTGGTATAGAAAACACACACATGCACGTGCGTACTACTCTCTCTCACTCCTGGTTAATAGTCCTGAGTGTTGTTTCTAAGAAATGTTGCAGTTCTCATAGTGCCTTGATATGGTGTTTAAAGTTACACTGTGAAATAGAGAATTATAGTGTCCAAGAAAAGTTAGTTAGGAAATGACTGAGGAAAGTAGGAATATGTAGCTACATAAATAATCATTATTTGTTAAAGAAAAAAGTCTATTTTGTTAGAAATAATTTCAGGTTTTTATTATAAGTCGTTTTTATTTTTGCAAGAAAACCAAAATTGAACAATAATCTTACAGTCTTACAACAAAACCTTAATTAACTTTATTTAACTTCATATATAAAAAGTGAAATATAAAATACCCTTCAAAGTTCCATCCTTTGCTTCCTCTTTCTCAATTATGTATAATTAAATAAAGGTTTAAGAAAAAAATTACTTGAGACATCTAAATTCTTTTTAAAGGCTTAACCTGGTGTTATTGTTTTTGAAGCCATTTGGTCACTTGGGCTTTCAGTAATTTCAGTAGGAGAAAAACGTTTTTCAAATAGCAGAGTCAGTTGTTTTCATATATATGATATATGTTAGATAATATATATTATTAAACTGGCTTTCTGTTGAGTGAGCTAGACAGTTTGTAGCTATCAACAGTATAAATTTACCAAATAATAAAAACAAATTTATTTAGCTGCATGTCTACATGTCTGAACCAACCTAATGTACTTTCTGTAACAAATTCCTTTTGATGAAAGTTTCTGAATATTTAAACCTTTCAAGCAATGGCGTTAGAAATACCCCTCCTCAGTTCTTATTATATGTGTGAAATGCCACTCCTGCTAGATGCTTAAATAGTTAAATATCTTGATATTTTGGTATGTGTGTATGTTTTCTTGACTGCAAAAGATACTCTGGGATATTTTTATATGACTGTAACTATTTTGCATATATAATATTTCATATATAAAATATCTTTAGATAAAACAATATCATTCCCAACAAAGTTGCTATGTGTATTTTAGGCACCATTACAGCCACATATAAAATTAAATGATGGATAAGAAAGTAAAATTCTGCCATTCATAATTACTAGTAGTTGATGCTGATATTATTAGCTTAGTATACAAATATGTTCGATTTATTTTCATTTACTTTGTTTTTCACTTCAACAGGTTTAAAGTGCAGCTCCCCTCATTAATTCTCCTTCTCACCTCCTCTACTTTCCTCTCCTACCCTGGTTTTACAATATAGAAATATGTTCCGTGGACTGTGGCTCGCACGGCGTTTGCATGGGAGGCACATGTCGCTGTGAGGAAGGCTGGACTGGCCCAGCATGCAATCAGAGAGCTTGCCACCCCCGCTGTGCCGAACACGGGACCTGCAAGGATGGCAAGTGTGAATGCAGCCAGGGGTGGAATGGAGAGCACTGCACTATTGGTAGGCCAACTGCACTTGTATTTATTTATTTACTTATTTGATTCTTTTCTTTTTCCTGTGCTGGGGGTCAAAGCTGGGGCCTCATGCCTCTACATAAGCGCTGTACTACTGAGCTGCGCCCTCAGCCCTTAACTGCACTTCTTCAGCTGTCCTGAATCTTCTGCCAAAAAACTCAAATTGTTGGCTGTTTTTAACTTGGAAAAATCTTGTTTCTTCAAATTGTTTTTTACTTCCCATCCTTAAAAAGAAATTTTTTTGTCTTTAAATTATGAGTCCTTTTATTTATACAATTTATTTATAATATTTTTATTTATTGTTACTGTGATGGCTGCAAAAATTTTTTATTTATAAGTCATCATTTAGTTAGCTGCAAATTCACCTATTCGTTGCACTTGTGGAGTGCTCACACCCATACTTGTGATATGGCTCCGTCAAATATTACTTATCACTGTTACATACTACCAGTGCATATGTTAATAGCAGTCATATTTTGTTACTTTAAAACTGTTTTTAAAATTTTTTTCAAATATGTGGCCTTGTTGACTTCTAGATTCCAGAATTACAGATCTTAGACTTGTCAATGTATTGAGTCTCTACTAAAGATATTTGATTACAGGATCACTAAAATGAAAGTAAAATGATGCATTAGTCTAGCTCTTCTTTATATGCTTAACACTTTTTCAACTATGATGACATTCGTGAACAGTTTAAATAAAACAATCAAATAGGTCTTTAAGATCAAAATGGTTAGAGTTAAAAAAAAGGTTTTATACACAAATGACATATAGCATAGATATAAAAATGTCTAGAACATATGTAATGCCACATTTTCAAGATATTCAGTGTCTTTGCTTTTACCATCCAAGTTACTGAATTAAAATTTTCTGCTAAAAAAATACAACAAAAGTTAATAATAAATTTCTACCTCGCTTCAGTAAAAGTATACAGCATTAAATTTCAGACTTTGAAGTACCATGTTTCCCCGTATTATTTCATGTCCTTCAGGTAAAGTTGAAATAGCTATTTGGGGAAGTGTTGCTATCTTAAATGATTTCTTCCAATATGTCTATGAGGAATATGAACTTTACATTTTTGCTTACAGGAATTTTGTGTCATTGGAAAACTGAAATCACATACATTTTATAGACTTGTCACAATTACATATTCATAAACCTTATGTAAGGTTATTTCTAATCTTATTGACATTGTGATACCTGTTTCACAGATCCCACCCCACCCCCACATTTGGTGGTATTTTAGAAGCATGCCAAGGCTCAGATTGTTGGACTCGTGGCTATTGCTTACCAGTGATCAGAAGGGGAAAAAAGAGTCATCAGACAGAGTCTGTCTGGAGAAATCCATGCACAGGCTCCCTTATGTTATTCCATTTCCGACAGAACAGGTCACAGCAGCACCCTCCTTTCTCCAGCAGTGAAATGCATCAACACATGTCCAGTGTTTCCACCAAGGGAAGCCTGTCTGACTCACAGTCCAAGGTTTTCTGCTCAAGTAGGTAGGTTGTGTCTACCACAACCACCAAAATCTCAAGTTCCCAGGTGAAAAGAAAATGTTAAGAGCTCCAGGTAGGCAAGACAACATTATCAGTGTGGGAAACACCCAAATTTTCAGATAACACACAAGGGCCAGCTCTGCAAGTCTCTGAAGATCAAGCCTGCTGTGTTGACTCTTGTCTTTACATCGCTAGAACCTCACTTGTTGAATGAGAGCTTACTGCTTACCACAAAAGCACAGAGTCACAGCAGGAGCAATACACTCACACCCTCGCAGTAAAAGATCCAGGTTCCTCTCCTCTATTCTTAGAGAGGCTTCCTAGGGCAGTGGCAGCATACTGTTCATGGGAGTTACATTGGGACAGAGACGAAGGACTTTTGCATCTTGCTGTGAACATACAACGGACAATGTAGTACCCCTATGAGCACACTGCTCCATGCCTCAAATCATAGAATGCCCAGGTATGTATGAGTGTATATACAGACACAGGGAAGGAAAATTATGCTTCTTATATTTTATGACCCCACCACAAGTTAATTCTAGCTGGGGGAGAAAAGTTACACATTCTGATTATGTATTCTAGGAAATCACAACAAACACATGTGTTTATAGCTTTGAAAACCAAGAAGTGTACCAGAAAGGTAGCCATAGACACATTTCACTTGACAACAACTACTATTGAACAAACATTCTGTTGTGTGCCTTGGCGGTATTATGTGATTACTAGTTTCCCATAGATATGCAATTACTGAATAAATTTTCTAGATGTTTGGAAACAAATAGGATTTTTGTTAATAGCAGGACTTTTTATTACAGACTAACGTACCTTGCTGGGTTGTTAACAATTCCATTTTCTATTGTTTTTGTTAACTTTGTGGATTTTAACGCATATGAATATGGGAAATAAAGGACCTGATTCATTTAAGAATAAATCTTGGACAAGAACCTTTTAAAAGATATAAAGACCCTTTAAACCATTATTTTGCTCTGTGATGCTCTTAGAACTTATTAACCAAATTTTGGCATACCAAGATCCAATTGCTTTTCCAATGTCTACCTTCTACCTGAGTGTATGTCCACAGTAAAACCTCAGGGGCCATGTGTGAGCCACTAATGAAGCAACCAGGAAACTGCCTTGTGTCTTCTCATTTGGATGGTTACCTGTCTGTGCATTTCCTCCCAGTTTCAAGGCTTATGTATCCAACTGGAGGAAGCTGCCACTTATGAAAGAATAATCACAAATCAGTAAGATTTTCTTCTGTCTCCAGTCTTAACATGCCATCCCCATTGCATACAAACAGGATGTTAATCAAAAGCAAGATGGAGAAGAAATTAAACAGTTAGAACCAAACAGAAGTTCCCAGTAAGAACAAAGAATATTCATTAGTCATCTTACTGTCTTCATGCACTCAGTTCATGCTTTCATAAAACCATAGATAGGCAAGTTGACAGTGAAATAGTTAGGAATTTCGAGTATTCATCCTCTACCTGAAAGGTCCCGTTCTGATATTTTTATTAGTGTACTCATGTTTTCCTCTCATTATGATGAGAGGAAATTATTATTATGAATCATAAGTTCAACAAATCAGGCGTGTTCATCTGCAGATTCTCTGACATTGTCCCAAGACCTCCTTTCTGGTTAAACTTTGTCTAGTGATACAGGTAGATAGAAAATAAAACAAAGAAAAATCTACTTTTAGCAATATCATACCTACTTTAATGTAGCTGTCTCTTTGTTCCTCCCCAGAAGGCATTTCTGATTGTTGGGGCCTTTTATTAATAAGAAAAAGGGGAGTAACATGGATGAACCACATCAGATAACATGGCTTAACAGTAACAGCACTGGTATAGGTGCTCAGCTACAGTAATACCCTCCTTTATATGTAACGCTTGCTAGCCAATCACTCTTCCACTTCAACCACACCTCCAACCGTTTTTTGCTTTAGTTATTTTTCAGGTAGGGGCTTGCATTTTTGCCTGCAGCCAGCCTCCAATGCAGCCCTCCTACCTGTGCTTTCCAAGTAGCTGAGATTACAAGCATGAACCACAATACAGGGCTTATTTGTTGACATGGGATCTCATTAACTTTTTGCCCTGGTTGGCATGGAACCACAAGCCTCCCATTCTCTGCCTCCTGAGTAGCTAGGATATGAGCCACTAATTAGACCTAAAAGGAAGTGTTTTTTAACTTCTTTCCATCCATTAACCCAAAGGATTAAGTCTTTTAGGTGGTAGCCATATCTAAAGGACTTTTGGAGGTCTCTTGCAATTCTAGAACTTCATAACTATTGATAACTTCTGCTGTATTTCCAAAGTTACTAGATGTAAGCATAGAGTGCCCTTTTTATTCCCAACTTCATTTAATCTTTTTTTCCCTAAAGCAAGAAATTATCCACTTTTTAGATGACTTGGGGTCCATTTTGTAGGATGCTGCACATTGATGCCTCCATGACTTCTCATTTGCCAATTTATTCCTTTTCCCTATTAAGCAGTTAGTGCACATCTTGTCTGAGATACTTATTGAGTAGTCTTTCTTATAAAATACAGTGTAACATAATTTTGAAGAAACATGGGCTTCAAAAATTTAAAAAGATGTGTTTTGAACTCAGTTCTGTGATTCATTTTAACTTGTATCCTGTTCTTAGCTTCAGTTGAACTTTTTCCTCAAATGTAAAATGGTTGTAATCATTAATACTTGTATAAGATTTTGAAGCAGAATACTCTGAAAGCTTTTAGATTTGTATCCTTGCTGAACTACTCAGTGACTTTGGGCAAGTCATTTAACCTCTCGGTATTTCTCTTATATGAAATGTGAATATATTTACCTCAAAGGATTGTTAGAATTAAATGAAATACTAGACTTAATAAAGTGCCTAGAAAACAGTATTTAATAAATTTTAGTTTTAATCTTGTCTTTAAGTAGAAGTGAGACAAACTATAGTCCAGACAATGTTGTGGGTATTAACATTTTTTTTAAAAAGTAAAACAAGGAGCCAGGCATGTAGTGCACACCTACAATCCTAGCACTTATGAGGCAGCCTGGCCTACATAGGTTGTTCAATGCCAGAGTGGTCCACATAGTAAGACCCTGTCTCAAAAAGAAAAAAAAGTAAAAGTTTCTGTTCAAGGAATTTACTTGAAGAAGTTAACAAGAAGCTGTTGGTCTGTGTGGAGATTAGAGGGATGCTTTTGAACATCATGATGATGAAAGAAAGGTGGGGTTTGCTGTGGTATTTTTCCTATAATGTCTCAAACACAGAGGCGTTTATTGAGCGACATTGATTTTCATGTACCTTCAGCAATTCAGATGGAAATTCAACCTAGGGGAAATCCTAATTCCTTTAAGCTACGAAAGACCAGCTCTTTTGTTTTTATTGTAATTCTTTAGTACATTGGGAAACAAGATCATTAATGATCACAAAGACATGCTTTGTGTGCTTGGACAAAACTTAGACATAACTGTACTCAGCATCCTTGCATTAAATACC